TTATTTATTGAAATGTGGCTCATTGTTATTTATATCTTTCAATAATTTGCTCAACTATCTGTAACATTCCAGTTATCTGTCAACACTGGGGAATAACGCCATGGAGATCAGTCCCTAGCCAACAAGACGCTTAATTTATTAAGGAGGGTTTTAATGTAATGTTTTAAACTCCCCCGTTACACTTTTTTGAACAAATGCAGCTGTTACCATAGAAGCTGATGATTCTCTATAAAAAATTAATTACAAAAACCCATATCCAAGAAGAAATGACGTTTAGTGGAAAAAACATCTGTATTGATGAGATTAGTTTAATTGAGAAGACAGAGAAAGAATAACTAGCAGAAAGGAAAACAGATACAATTAACAGAGCTACATAATGCCAACCTAAGGAAAATGAAAAAGTTGATAAAAGAAAAAAGCATCTCCAAATATTAACTACAAACACTCAATCGTTTATTATTTAGTTTACAGCATAATTCCAAATCAATATTTGCACCAAATTAAATCACAGTGATACTTTTACATGAATTAGTGTTGGAGGATTGGAAACAATTGTTCAATATAATCAATAACAAACAATTTAAATCTGTGTTTAACAGAAGTATTCAAACAAGCATGGCTCTAAGTATATTACTCTCATATATTATAAATTCCTCAACCCTTTTGCCTGTGTTAGACTGGTTCTGAACTTAACCTGTAAAGAGAGAAGCTTAACTGTGATGATGATGATGATGATGATGATAATGATGATGATGATGATGATAATGAGAGAGAGAGAGAGAAAGAGAGAGAGAGAGAGAGAGAGAATTTCAATCAGTAACACTTTGTGATGACCCTTATGATGAAATTACATGAGAAATTTACTTGGTTATCCACTGTTCTAAAATTACATTAAAGATTTGCTTTAGTTCCAGGAATATTTTTAATGGGTATTTAAACTCTCAACATCAAATTGTTGACAGCAGTAGATACTATTTTATTATTTTATTATCATATAATGTAAAATCATAAACATCCACACATGCTGATTGTGCCTTAAATAACTAGTTTAATTGTTATATGAACATATTATGTGATGATAAGACCTCTTATTATACAATTAAAGTCCTATGAACCTTGAAGTTTGACAGTATTTAAACATGATTTTCAACCTTATCAACTCTGACACAAGGCTATATTCTGGGTTATATATATATATATATATATATATATATATATATATATATATATATATATATATATATATATATATATATATATATATATAACATCAAACAAAAGTAATTGCAATGGTTTGACATCATAAATATGCATGCTTTTATTGCATATCTGCAAACACATACACCTTCCCCATACAGTGACCCAGAAGTCATAATCTATCATATGCACTCAGTTGGGGGCCCCCGAGAGTGAGTGGCCGAGTGGTCTAAAGGCTGTCCGTTATGGATCACTGCCATCTCACCTCTGTCTGCGTGGGTTGGAATCTAGGATTCAGCAAATGTGGATATGTGAGAAAGCTTGCCAGTAGCTTCTCGTGGGTCGTGGGTCGGTGGTTCTTTCCGGTGATTTCCGGTTTCTTCCTCCACCATTAATACTGGCCGACATGAATAGCCTATGGTGTGCTGAAAAATGGCGTTAAGCCCAACAACAACAACAACAACAACCTGCTGTTACAGTATCTATATCAAGTTTCATCAGAAAATATTTGAAAATGTCAATGTAAGTGCAAATTTTGTAGATTTCTCCTTTCATCCCATCTTGTGGACCAAAAAATGACACCTTACACAGCAACATAACAAGAATGTTTGTTGCATTTGATTTTTGACACCATCTTGTGGCTCAAAGGGCTGAAGTAAAGAACAGCATATGCTTCTTACAAGCAATACTTTGGACCCAATGGGCTGGAGCCAGGAATGGCACACCTCGCACAGGTCGTTGTCAAAGAGCTAACATAAATACAAAAATTTCATAAATTTCCACATAAAGGTTACAAAATTTAGTAATGATCAGAGATGAAATATCACAATATCCCCTTTACATGTAAGATAAAAACACAAAACATTCTGAGGTCACAAGTAAACATATGCATCTCCTTCAGATACAATGAGATAAATTTCCCATAGAACCAGCAGAGTTGTGTGTCTTGAGGGCATTTAGATCACTTTGAGGCTGGGTCCCTAAGCCAATCATTTAATCAAAATTTTTAATCAAAATTACTACTAAATGGTAATGCACAATAAATGACACTAGAAACTGTTGTTGTTGTAGAGTTTAATGCCATTTTTCAGCACAAGATAGGCTATACATGGTGGCCAGTAGAAATGGTGAAAGAACCAGGAAAAGCTCAGAAAGAACCACTGACACAAGTTGAGAAGCTACTGGCAGGCTTTCTCACAGACCCACATTAAGGCCAAATCTGAGACTTGAACCCATGCAGAGAGTGATGAGATGGGAGTGATCCATGACAGTGAGTGCTTTAGACCACTCAGCCAATTTGGGCCCCTGTACAAGCCATAAATATATAAATAACTCAAACAGGACAGATTCACCCTAGAAATTGTAAATACAGTGTATATAAATAACTTATACAGGACAGACAAACACCAGACTTTGTAAATTAATAATTAGCTAATACAGGGCAGACTGACACTAGACATTGTAAATGGAAAAGATACTTAAATGGACAACAACAGTCAATGGATAATTAGCTTAAAGATGACAAGACTAGATAATGTAACTGGAAAAACAGCTTAAATAGGACAGACTGACACTTGACAATCTCAATAGATAAATAGTTTAAAGAAGAGTGAATTTAATGTCTTTGACTTTGACTTTCTTTTACATACAAACATAGCATAATACTAATTTTATGTTTACACCTATGCTTTCTTCACAGTAAACTGAGGAGAACCAAAATGTATACTTATTTGTGTATCAATAAAAGGTCCATGTATGCTTAGTTTTGCACATACATGCTTATTTTTTATAATGGAAGGCCCACATATGCTTATGTGGATAAATACAAAAGACCCAGGTGAGATGTTTGGTGTACATATGCAAGACCCATGTATACTTATATTTGTACATACAGAAGGCCTGTGCATGCTTATTTTCATATAATGGAAGGCCCATACATGCTTATTTGTGTAAATACAAAAGGCCCACATATGCTTACTTGTGAACATACATAAGGCCCATGTATGCTATGTATATATAAAGAAGACTCATGTATGCTTATTTTTGTACATACAGAAGGCCTGTGCATGCTTATTTTTATATGCTAGAAGACTCATATATGCTTATTGGTGTAAATACAAAGGTCATGTAAGCTTATTTGTGTATATACAGAAGTTGTTGTTGTTGTTGTGGGGTTTAACGCCATTTTTCAGCACAGAAGTCCCATTTATGCTTATTTGTGTACATGCAGAAGGCCCATGTATGCTTATTTGTGTACATACAGAAGGTACATATATGTTTATTTGTGTACATAAAGAAGTGGTACATGCTTTTTTTATAATGTCTGCCTGTGTACAGACAAAAGGCCCATGTATGTTTATTTTTTTTTAATACCTGGTAGGCCTGGCCCTGTATGCTCATTTGAGATGAAGTTTAAAATTGCAACTGTTGATGAATACAGGATGAATTCAAAATTTCCCAAATGACATGAAAATCAACTCATATCACATACATATACATACATATGCACAGAAATATGCTGACTTTTCATTGGCCTAAAACATTGTGCTAATGAATTAGCATGGGATGGATACATGGATGCCCAGACAGACAGACAAAATGATAATTGCCCTTATTTACAACTGAAACTCAGTCCCAGCCCTAGGGCAAGCTGAACAAGGCAATCACGTGCTTTCAGGGGCCCCACATTACTGATGGAAATCAACTCCGCAATGCAGATTTTTTGCTTGGGGCCTTGCTCATTGCTTGCTGCCTTGGGCCCTGCACATCCTGGGACCATTTCTGATGAAACTTAAGATTGCTTACAGTTGCATCATTTGGATTTTTATTTAGGACTCAATGCATCACAGACAGTAATTTTCATAACAATATATTGCTCAGTTTACATTACTAATTGCTCTGCAGTCAATATTTGAACACATTTATGACTTTGATAGGATACATTTTTTCCTCACAATTATCAACTCTTCTGCAGATATAAAACAACTTTCAAATCATCTATTTCCTTCTTTTAAATTATACAGTGATATTTTATGGAGATTGTGTCTATTAGTAAATGAGCTAGTTTAAAAATCAATATTTCTTTTGATTTTCCTTTCTGGTACATCTCCTTACTTGCAAAATTGCCATGAATAAACAATAAAACAATTTTAAAGATATGATATATTGGGATTTGGAAAAATACTGCAAAACTTGAGCATGCAGATTTGTTAGTTGGTTGGTTATTACAGGTCTAACACCATTTTTCAGAACATGATATATGTCGTTGCCAGCATATCTGGTGAAGGAAAAACTATGAAAAGCCTAGGATTAAACATAAACTAATGGGAAGTTACTGGCAAGCTTTCTCACATAGGAACACTAATTGAACCCTAGACAAAGGAGAGATGCCAGTGAGCTGTGAAAGTGAACACCTTTCACTGCTTGTCCAGACAGGGCTATTGTAAAAATACAAGGAAATTCATTAAATTTTAACAACATAGAAATTACAATATAAAATTTGTGCTTTGAGTCAACTATATTTTTAAGACATATCAGCTAGAATTCTGTTTTTGTACAATGTTTTCCCATGATTCCACATCATATTAAAATGAGCCTCTTTGGTAGCTCCCTGAAAACTATAACTGATTTTAAATGCCAAATGTCAACTGTCACAAATATTATATCTGTTCATGCCTAATGAGTATGTACATGGTGTGAATCTTGATATTTTCAAGTTATAATCCAGGGGCATAGTCTCCTGGGGGCTAAGGATGGACTCCAGGGCTAATGTCAGATGCAGTGGATGGAACTCCACTTGCCCAAGTTGAAATTTTCCAGTGAATTTTGAGATTTGTAACCCCATGAGTTGCATGTTTTGCCAAGTGAATGTTTGTATGTTTAAAGGTTGGGAATCTCAACAGCTTCCAAATCATGACCCAGGGGCTAAGTTTTGATGGGTTGGGATAAAATCTGGAATTGATTTCAACTGTGTATATAAACTTACTTTGTTATGTCGAGTGTGTCTATAGTTATAAAGTGGGTATTTCAACAGTTTCCAAGCTATAGTGCAGAGGCTCTCTCCATTTATGTATGGATGGATACTTAGGTAGTGACGTAAGTATAAATTTATCTTTTCATACCCAGTAAGAACATATATGATTATCATGTTGGCTGGGATCTTAATAATTTCTATGCTATAAATCAGGAACTAAATTCCAGGGAGACAGATTTGCCAGTTTGATATGTGTTAACACTTGTATCTTGGTCACCAAATTTGCCAATTTACAGACATCAGAGACAAACACACTTTTCGTTAACTTTATGCAAATATCCGATCTACATAAAGTCAGACAAGCAGATCCATACAAATCTGACCCAAAATCTGCTCCGATCCACTCTCAAAAGTTAAGAGCAAACCTCAGAACCTTGAATCCTTAACACCACTTCCTGGGGCAAGATAAAAATATCCTAAAAGAATACCATGAAAGGCACTAGTACATACTATTCCTATGTTTAAAAGTCAACTATGTAAATAAATAACATTTAATTTATAACACTAACTTTGATCTTTGACACTGTACCCCAAATAGTTTTCTCCCTTACCCCAAGTGTAAACCTAATGTTTGGTCTGGGTGTGTGTTATAGAAAACTTGACCTTTATTTAACCTTTTGACCCTGACAATGATGTGTTCTTCGTAACCACAAGTTCAAGTCTTTTAAAGAATCTGGCAAATGTCAATGATGGAGAAGTCACATCATGCAGAATCAGTTTTCTTCCTTCAGTCAGTGACCTTGATTTTTGACATTTTAACACCCAAACTGAGAGTGTTCTTTGTTACTACATACCAAAACCACACAGATTCAAATCCTAAAATTAAACCAGCCCAGGCTGGTTTACTATTGTGCTGCCTTAACCTTTTTTAACTTACTAATGTTACTGTACCATAAATCAATAAACCAGACCAAAAGTAAAATCTGTCATACCACAAGTGCATACCTTCTATAATGTGTTTTAAACATGGATAATGGAAAATTAAAGTAAAATAGTGCAGAAACAATATTTTTTCTTCCATGTTGACTTTGACCTTTCAGCTTTTGACTCAGAAATATATATCAAACCAAGCACAATATATCCACACAATTTCATAACAGTATAAATCATGGACAAATCAAGTTATTTTGCACAAAGCAACTGCAACAGGCAAATGGCTGGATGGACTTACAATTTTCATAAGAAACTCTACCTTAGAGTGGGCCTATAAAAGAAATTGGCACAATCTACACTTACTTCAAAATAATGAATTACATTCAGGCAAACAGGCAATAACACAATTATACTTCAGACAATGCCATATATTCAACAAAGGGAGCCTATCACACAATTCTACTTTAGACTGTAATATCAATTCAATCAAGGACAGACTCTATAACACAGTTCTACTTGGACAGTGATATACATTCAGGCATAGACAGACAACATAACACAATTCTACTTCTGACAGTGGTATATATTCAGGCATTGACAAACAGTATAACACAATCCTACTTCTAACAGTGATATACATTCAGGCACAGACAGACAGCATAACAGAGTTCAACTTTAGAGAGTGGTATACATTCAGGCAAGGAAAGAGAGTATAACAATTTTACTTCAGACAGTGATATACATTAAGGCATAGACAGACAGTATAACACAATTCTACTTTAGACAGTGGTATACATAAAGGCAAAGACAGACAGTATAACACAATTCTACTTTAGACAGTGATATATATTCAGGCCAGAACTGACAGTGTAACACAATTTTACTTTAAATAGTGGTACAGTATATATTCAAGCCAGGACTGACAGTATAATACAATTCTACTTTAGACATTTATATAAATTCGGAAAGGATAGCAAATATAACACAGTTCTATTTTAGACAGTGACATACATTCAGGCAAGGACATACAATATAACACAATTCCACTTTAGACAGTGGTATACATTCAGGCACAGAGAAACAGTATAACACAATTCTACTTAGGACAGTGATATATATTCAGGCCAGAATTGACTGTATAACACAATTCTACTTCAGTGATAAGCATTCAGGCAAGGTCAGACAGTACAACACAATTTACTTTATACAGTGTTATGACTCTATGGTTTTAAACTTGTAACAAAAATAAGTGAAAACCAACAAGTAAAAAAAAATTCAGCAAATAATTCATTTCCTTATAATACAAAGTAAATATTTAAAAAGAACATACAGCATTGTGATTTAAAATCTCAAATAGTTCTAGAAGTTCTATTACAATTTTAAATGTATAAAGTTCC